GATTGAAAAAGACACCGGCGTCCTCCGATGCCAGCCCTTTCTGCGAGCGCACGCACCTCTGCACCTCTGCACTTTACTTCCGCACCTCCTGAGTCTCAGTGTGCTTTTCTCTTTCCTTCTAGTTGTAGAATTTCCACTCAGCCAGCCTTCCTGTGGTTCTGGGTGATGTCTGTTTTGTCTTTAGTTGTAGTTTTGAAGTGGTTGTGCGAGGCAGCAATTTCAGGTGTTTACCTATGCCGCCATCTTGGTTTCTCTCCAAGCAATCTACTTTTAAAATGGGCAGAGAATCTGAATAGACATTTTCCAAAGAGGACATACAGATGGCCAACAGACATGCAAAGATGCTCAACATCAGTAATCATCATGGAAATGCAAATCAAAACCACAATGAGATATCACCTCTCACCTGTTAGTATGTCTGTTATCAAAAAGGTAAACGACAAGTGCTAGAGAAGATATGGAAAAAAGGGAACCCTGTGTACTATTAGTGGTAATGTAAATTGGTTCAGCCACCATGGAAAACAGTGTGGAGATTCCTCAAAAAAAATTAAAAATAAAAGTACCTTATGACCCAGTGATTCCACTTCTGGGTATTTATCCGAAGGTAATGAAAACACTAATTGGAAAAGATATATGTATCCCCTGTGTTCACTGCAGCGTTGTTTACAATAGCCAAGATATGGAAGCAACCTAAGTGTCCATCAGTAGATGAATAGATATATAAAATGTGATTACACACACACACACACACACACACACACACACACACACACAGAGTGGAATATTATTCAGCCATAAAAAAGAAAATTTTGCCATTTGCAACAACATGGGTGGAACTTAAGGGCATTATTCTAAGTGAAATAAGTAAGACAGAGACAAGTACTGGATGATCTCATATGTGGAATCTAAAAAGAAAACAAAAAACCTGAACTTGGATAATAAAGACCGTTATAAACTGATGAACAAAAAGATAGATACGGAGGCAGAGAAGCATTGAAGAGACTGTCAAATTACAGTGGGAAGGCTGGGAAGTATTGGGGGGGAGGTAAGAGATCAAGCGAAGGACTTGTATGCATGCATATAAGCATGACCAATGGACACAAGACACTGGAGGGGACGGGAGGCCAGGGGAAGGTCAAGGGGGAAAAAAAAGGAGACATTTGTAATACTTTAACCCGTGGTCAGCAAACTGCGGCTCACAAGCCACATGTGGCTCTTTGGCCCCTTGAGTGTGGCTCTTCCACAAAATACCACGTGCGGGTGCGCATGTACAGTGCGATTGAAACTTTGTGGCCCATGCACAGAAGTCGGTATTTTGTGGAAGAGCCACACTCAAGGGGCCAAAGAGCTGCATGAGGCTCGCGAGCTGTGGTTTGCTGAGCCGCAGTTTGCCGACCACTGCTTTAAGCAATAAAACAAAATTTAAAAAAAACACCTGAACTTGTAGTAAAAGAACAGATATCAGTTCTACTTTCTGCTACACCCAAGTCCAGGACTCATCATCTGTTGATATGTGAGAGTTAAATTCTAAGTCCCTAGCTATCAACAGTCTATTTTCAGGTTCCTTACAGCCTCCACAACTATCTCAGTGTCAGCCCACGGTTACATTTTGCTTTGGCTTTCAGATCTCTTTTCATTCTGGCATCTGGGAATTTCCTTTCTTTTCTTGTGAGCTCAGCCATGTAGTATAAGCCAGAATGCAAAGAAGTGCTGAAATATTATTGGGGTAATAAGGACACAGGAGCCAGATTGAGGGGGCTCTTACTGGTCAAATTTGTGACAACCTATGCATCAAAAATGATAACTATAATGAGACAGGGGTCCTCAAACTACGGCCCGCGGGCCACATGCAGCCCGCCGAAAACATTTATCCAGCCCGCCAGGTGTTTTTGCCGCCACTGTGTGCATAGGAATTTGTTCATAGATTTTTTTAAACTATAGTCCAGCCCTCCAACGGTCTGAGGGACAGTGAACTGGCCCCCTGTTTAAAAAGTTTGAGGACCCCTGAGCTAACATATTAAATAAAAAATAAAATAACCCCTTGAATTCATGAAGATACTCAGAGAAAGGGAGCCTGGTTAGCATGGCTCAGTGGTTGAGCGTCGACCTCTGAACCAGGAGGTCCCAGTTGGATTCCTAGTCAGGGCACATGCCTGGGTTGCAGGCTCAATCCCCAGTGTGAGGCATGCAGGAGGCAACTGATCAATGATTCTCTGTCATCGTTGATGTTTCTATCTCTCTCTCCCTCTCCCTTCCTCTCTGAAATCAATAAAAATATATTTTTTTTAAAAAAAGAAAATGATCAGAAACTACAAAATGGAAGAAGATATTTGCAACACATGTATCTGATTTATATCCAGAATATGTAAAAAATTCCTCCAAATCAATACAGAAAGACTTACATTAGAAAAATGGGGATAAGACTTGATTAGACATCTCCAAAGGGGAATATCTAATTATCCAATAGACCTGTGAAAAAGGTGCTCAACTATATTATTCATCATGAAAATGGGAAATACTAATAAAAGTGCAAGGCAATATGATGCCCACTAGAATGGCTAAAATGTGAATGACAGACAATACCAAGAGTTGACAAGGATATGGATCATCAGGAATGCAAATTGGTACAATTTTGGGAACCTGTTTGATAGTCTCTACCAAAGCTGGATATTTGCATATCCTATCATCCAGCATTTTTACACTGAAGGTATGGAACTATGTTTACCAAAAGACATGTACAAAACAGTGACAGCATTACTATCTGTATTAGCCCAAACTGAAAACAAGCTACTAAGGTATTAGTAATGTTTTCTATTTTGATCCAAGGGGGATTACACAGTGTTAACTTTATAAAACTATATTGAGCTTACATACTTGTGATTTGTATGCCTTTCTCTTTATATGTACACTAGAGGCCCAATGCATGAAATTCATGCAAGGGGCTCAGCCCTTACAGCCACGGCTTCATCCAGAAGGTCATCCAGAAGGATGTCTGTAAGGTTGTTCAGCTGTCTGGTCTAATAAGCATATTACACTTTTATTATTATAGATTGTGCTACAATAAAAAAATTTATTTAAAAAAAAATACAATTTCTATTCCATTATTAGCTGCTGTGATCTTGGCATAGTAACTTGAACAAAACATTACATCAGTAAGTAGTAAGCCCACAATATTGTTATCCTATATAATAAAAGCCTAATATGCTAAGTGTCTGGTCGTCCAGTCAGCCGTTCAACCAATCAAAACATAATTTGCTAATGATATACTAAGGCTGCTCAACTGCTTGCTATGACATGCACTGACCACCAGGGGGAAGACAGTTGACCGGTTGACCAGTTGCTATGACGTGCACTGACCACCAGGGGGTTGATGCTCCGACCGGTAGGTTAGCTTGCTGCTGGGGTCCAGCTGATCAGGACACACCCTGGGTGGGCCGGACATACTCTGGAGTGGTCCCTCCCTGGCTTGCCAACCTCCCACGTCCCTCCCCAGTCCCAATCGTGCACCAGTGGGGTCCCTCAGCCTGGCCTGCACCCTTTCACAATCTGGGACCCCTCGGGGGATGTTGGAGAGCTGGTTTCGGCCTGATCCCGCAGGCCAGCCCAAGGGACCCCACTGGTGCACAAATTCATGCACCGGGCCTCTAGTATTTTAATACTTAAAAATCATTAATTATCATTTAATTAAGTTTGGTACTAGGAAGCTTCTTGATAACAGCTTTTATTTAAATCCACATTTGTTGCTTATTTTGAATGTACTTCAGTATCTTTTCTAGGAGAATGAAATTCTGATTCTTTTTTTTAATCCTCACCCAAGGAGTGAGGATATTTTTTCCATTGATTTTTTAGAGACAGTGGAAGGGGAGAGGAAAAGGGGAAAGAGAGAGGGAGAGAAAGAGAGAGAGAGATTGGTTGCTTCCCGCATGTACCCCAACTGAGGCAGGGATTGAACCTGCAACCCAGGCATGTGCCCTTGACCAGGAAACGAACCCGAGACCTTCTGGTACACAGGCCGACACTCTAACCACTAAGCAACACCAGCCATGGCAAAATTCTGATTCTTTATACTAAAAATAAAGTCTGGCCGTTTTTTCCAGGAACTGTAGTGCTTTATTTCCCTCCACAATAGTGAACACATAAGACCGAAAATACAATTCAATGAGATGGGTTATTAACTATTGTACTCAGAACTGAGGCTGCTATAACGTCATTTGCAAAAACATCACTTTGTGGCTTTTATACACACACAGTGCAGAAAAGAAAAGTTGTGCGTTGCCATAGCAACTGTAATGTAGGTACCTATTGGAATAAGGTTTTGATTATTTCTGCTTTTGATCACTCTAATTCCTCTAAATTTTATATCAGTGTGACTGAGTAATGGTTGATACAGGAATTACTTAGAAGTATTGAATTTCTATAAATGTAAGCTGTCAGCACTTTATGCTCTGCTCATGCACTTGCATTTAATTGTCATTTGTTTTAGGAATAATCCTGTTTTAAAAAATACTTTTGAGTTTTTTCTCAGAAAATATATTTCCAAGCAAGCAGCACATTAACACTTATTTTCATCAGCAACAGCATATTTAGCTAAAGTGACTGTATGGCACCTTGATAGAATATCCTATTATAGATGTAGAAAATGAAGTAGAATGACAGAAGATAATAAATTATTTAAGATCACAAAACAAATCAAGGTAGAACTATTACTGGAATTGTACTCCGGATGAGCCATTCACGAAGTGGTATTTTCATGAAAGGATTGTGGTGGCCTCAGCACTTTCCTCTGTGCTTCTGTGGGGCACAGTTCTACATGACCAGGGCCTGTGTGTATTTGACTCTAATCTCCCAAGCTGAACACACTTGTTTGTGTGTCTCCAAGGCCAGAATGTTTTCAGGAGTATCTCATCTGAGACTAAATTTTCTGCTTGTCCATTCTGTCATTCAGTGTGTTAGGGTTCTCCAGAGAAACAGAACAAATAGAATATTTATATTTATTATAGGAATTGGCTCATGCTGTTTATGGAGGCCAAGAAGTTCCACAATCTGCCATATCCAAGCTGGAGAACCAGGAAAGCCTGTGGTGTAATTCAGCTCCAGTCTGAAGGCCTGCGAGTGAGAGTGTGGGTTGGGGAGCTTGGTGGTGTCAGTCCTGCTCTCTGTCTGAAAGCCCCAGGACTAAAAGCACCAATGTCTGAGGACAAAAATGGATGTCCCAACTCAAACCGAAGGCAAATTGACCTTCTTCCACCTTTTGTTGCATTCAGGCCCTCAGTGGATTAGATGATGCCCATTGGTAAGGGAGATAGATGAACACAAATAATCATCTATGATAATAGCCCATTTTGGGGGAGTTTGTTTTATGTAGAAAATTGCATTTTTATTTGATTTATAATATTGATAAGAAAGCAGAGTGTTTGTCAGATCAATGAAAAGTCAGCTTTCCAAGTTGGCATCTGTGCCTCCCCTCCCCCCGGAAATCCTCCCCCACTACTCATCCTGCAGACACATGCCCAGTCCCAAGAGGAGAGGTCCATGCCCCAGGTATATTTAGGGAAGACAAAGAAGGGAGCAATTTTTCTGATGGTTGTTGACATTCAATTGAAGATGCTCCAAATTAGATGAGGACAGAGGAAAGAAAGAATCATATGTTACTGTCAATTGGGTTCCATTTAGAATTAGAAAGGAAGAAGAAAGAAACAATTTCCTATTATAAGTAAATGGACAAGGTAATGATGAGTCAATTAGATTAGCTAAGAAATGATGCTATGGAAGGAGAGAAAATAATCTACTATTTTTTAAAAATGGGTGGGGTGATAATTATTTAATTCCGTTAGTGAAGAAACAAGTCAGTGCTTATTATGCCTTTTAGGGGAAGAGGTCTGAAGACTTGAATCTAGGACAAATCTGGAAGCTTGGCAGCAAGCAAAGAAACTAAAACTGGATAAGAGGTGGGATGAAGGTAAAAAATGATGTCGTCATCTGTATCTGCCTTTCTGAGGGGATCGCTGGACGTGGTATTGAGAAGACAGGGTTCTGTGTCCCTGCCAGTGCACATGTCACACTGAAATCTGCTGAGATAAAACAACTGGACAAGGACAAGATAGTGTGTCATCTGAGGCCAAAACAGGATTGTGGGGTCCTCATCTGCAATAGACACGCACCAGAAATGTAAAGGCAAGTGCAGTGATATGTGAGTCCTCAGCTCCATTCATTTTGTTGGTTTTAAATTTCATTGTTATCAATATCTCTGGTTTCTTTCATTCAGGTCATTATCAAATAATGCAAATAATAACTAACATATTAATAACTTATAATGTGCAGACACTGTTGTTAAATAGTTAAAATGGGTCAGTTTCAAGTAGGGACAATTATTGTTCCTTTACAGATGAGGAAATGGAAGCCCAGAGAGGCTAGATAACCTGACCCTGCATACAACCTAGGCTTATAGAGGCAGCAGCCTGTGTTGTCACCTACTCCAGACTCCTCTATCCCAGGACTAGGGACTTTTGGGTTGCTAAGAACTGAACTCCTGATTTTGTGTGTGTGTGTGTGTGTGTGTGTGTGTGTGTGTGTGTGTGCAAAACGTTTGTTTTATTTTTGCATTATAAGATTCTATACCAATACTGAAATTTGATTAATTGAGAATTTCTTGTCTACACAGATACACTAAATAGAAAAACTTAGCTACTCTTTCTTATGAATTCAAACAATTTCTGGGAGAAGTCATACATGTGAGCATTATGTAATGATGAGTCAGCTGTTTGAAAGGTTTGGGAGTGATATACTGCTAATATTGCTAAGTGTCTTATCACTAAAGTTATAACCTTACACAATGTTTATTGTAAATATTCTTCAGGGAGAGTTTGGTTATTTAAGTGATTTCTGACTTTGTGTATACATTCAAGTCAAGGGTGACTTGCCATGTTCTTTTCAATAGTAATACTTAACAATAAAATATTAAATTCACACAATTCACCTACATTCCTCCTTTTTAATTTATTGATTTTAGTGATGGGGGGCAGTAAGAGGAAGAGAGAGAGAAACATCAATCTGTTGTTCCACTTATCCATGCATTTCCTGATTGATTCTTGTATGTGCTCCAACCTGGATCAAACCTGCAACCTCAGTGCATCAGATGACGCTCCAACCAACTGAGCTAACTAGCCTGTTTCCATTCCCCCGCACCAACTGATGGGAAATAGTATATAAAGAGGGCTGAAAATAGAGAAAATGAAGAAAGAAGAACTCAGTTTTGTAAGTAAGTAGAAACATTTTCCTCTCTATTTTAGAAATTGTTTGCAAAAGTCAGAGGATATTCTGTTAGGCATGAAGGTTCTCTATCCTGCTAGTGTGCTCACACAAGAGAATATTACACAGTGCGGTCCCATTTCTCATTTCTTTTGTATTTTGCATTTGTAGTGCTGTGCTTTGCATAGTGGAAAATGTAAATGCATATTGACTTGCCTGTGATGGTGAATTTATATGTGTCAACTTGACTGGCTAAAGGATGCCCAGATAGCTAGTTAAACATTTCTCCTGGGTGTGGCTGTGAGGGAGGGCATCACAAGAAGAGATTAGCGTTTGAATCATTAGACAATAAAGTTGCTCCAATTGTTCCTGCTCTCTAGCCCATGGTATTAATTTTTCGCTCTCCATCAGCCTACAAGCATGCTATTATTCCTACTGTCTTTAATAAAAATGAACAAAAAACTCCTTTTGACATGCTCTCTCCTCCATCTACTGCACAATATTTTTAATTTTTTTCTTTATTAATTAAGGTATTACATATGTGTGCTTATCCCCCCATTCCCCGCCCCCCCCCCCCCCCGCAATCACCCACTCATGCCCTCACCCCCCTGTTGTCTGTGTCCATTGGTTAGGCTTATGTGCATGCATACAAGTCCTTTGGTTGATCTCTCCCCCTTACCCCCACCCTCCCCTACCTGCCCTCTGAGGTATGACAGTCTCAACATGAGGTATGATGCTTCTCTGTCTCTGGATCTGTTTTTGTTCATCAGTTTATGTTGTTCATTGTATTCCACAAATGAGTGAGATCATGTGATATTTATCTTTCTCTGATTGGCTTATTTTGAATAGCATAATGCTCTCAAGTTCCATCCATGCTGTTGCAAATGGTAAGAATTCCTTCTTTTTTACAGCAGCTTAATAATCCATTGTGTAGATGTACCACCGTTTTTTAATCCACTCATTGGCTGATGGGCACTTAAGCTGTTTCCAAATCTTAGCTATGGTAAATTATGCTGCTATGAACATAGGGGTGCAGATATCCTTTCTGATTGGTGTTTCTAGTGTCTTGGGATATATTCCTAGAAGTGGGATCACTGGGTCAAATGGGAGTTCCATTTTTAGTTTTTTGAGGAAACTCCATACTGTTCTCCACAGTGGCTGCACCAGTCTGCATTCCCACCAGCAGTGCACAAGGGGTCCTTTTTCTCCGCATCCTCACCAGCACTTGTCATTTGTTGATTTGTTGATGATAGCCATTCTGACAGGTGTGAGATGGTACCTCATTGTCGACTGCACAATATCTTTACTCCTTAATAGCCATCGTAAATTCTGTCCCCAATTTTTCCCTTCGCACTCTCTCCAGAACCTACTCCAATAAGGCTTTTGCCCACACCATCCCACCACAATAGTGCTTGTCAAGACCATCAAGTGACCTCATGTTGATCATTACAATGGTTAGTTTTTAGACCTCCTCTTACCTGACCAGCAACATTTTGTGGTATTGATCACTCTCTCCTTCTTGGTGTGCTTTCTTCACTTGGCTTCCAGTATACTGTACTCTTTTGATTTTCCTTCCACCTCCCTGCCTCTGGCTGACTTGGTCTCCTCTCTCCAGCCTCCTATGTTGAAGTACCCCAGGCTCAGTCCTGGGCCCTCTCTTATTTTCTATCCACACTTACTACCTTGATGATCTCATCTATGCTCCAGGCTATAAATGTAATTTCCAATTTGAGAACACTCAAAGACATCTCTCCAGCTCAGATCTCCCTTTTGAATTCCTGATACATATCCAATTGCCTATCAATATCTCCACTTGAATATCTAATAGGAATCTCAAAATCTACAGATCTAAACAGAGCTTCAGATCTTACTCTTTAACCTGTGGCCTTCCCTATTGTGGCATCTTGGAATTTCATGACAACACCATCTTCTATCTGCAGGTCAAAATCTTTGTGTTAGCTTTGACTCTGCTCTCTCACATCCAGTTTATTAGGAAATCATATTTGGCTCTCCCTTCAAATATTGCCAGAATCTAATTACTCACTCCTTCCTCAGTTACTACCTTGGTCTGAGCTACCATCCTCTCTCTGGACTAACCCAATAAACCTCATCACAATCTTTCTTCCTCTAACCAGCGGTTCTCAACCTGTGGGTCACGACCCCTTTGGCGGTCAAACCACCCTTTCACAGGGGTCGCCTAAGACCATCCTGCATATCAGATATTTACATTACGATTCATAACAGTAGCAATATTACAGTTATGAAGTAGCAACGAAAATAATGTTATGGTTGGGTCACAACATGAGGAACTGTATTTAAAGGGCCAGAAAGTTGAGAACCACTGCCTAACCTAAACCCCATAGTTAGTAGCCAGAGTGATCATGTCATTGTCTATTCAAAATCCTCCAGTAATTTCTCATTTTACTCAGAGTAAAAGTCAAAACTCTCACAGTAGGCTTACTTAGCTTGATCCTACTTAGCTTGGCATCCCGCTATCTCTGACCTTGATCTCTTCCCTCTTCTTTGCTCACTGGCCTTGCCGTTACTCTGTTACCCCAGGCACACTCTGGGGGAAGGGCTTTGCTCTGGCTGTGCTCTCTGCCTGAAATGTTCTTTTCCTTAACTAACTTCCTCTCTTCCTCCATGTCTTCCTTTAGCAGGGAACCTTCTCAATGAGACTTGACCTAGCCACCAGCTTACTACTGCAGCTGTACCCATGCATGCGTGCGCGCATGTGCATACACACACCACGGGCACGTCTGATTGTCCTTACCCTGCTCTGCGGTTCCCTTTGTTCTGCAGTCACCACCTGATAATATATATTTTATTTATTATGTTATTTGTTGTCTGTGTCCCACTAGAATGTAAGCTCCTGAAGGCAAAGAGCTTTGTTTTGTTTACAGGTGTGTGTGTGTGTGTGTGTGTGTGATTTCCCTCTGATAAAGCCAAATAGGAGTTTCTAAATCCTGCGGAGGCGTGACTGTCCTTCACATTCTGTGTGGAATGGGGCCCACACCCACCTCTGCATCTGTTTGCAGTCACTGACTGAGCCGCAAGTTAAGGCATCTTCGAAGACAAGTATTTGAACTATGTTCATGATAAGAATTCAAACCGAGTGAGAAACTGGTTAAAAGAGAAGTGGAAGAAGGTGGCACCTCAAGGAAAGAAACATGACACAATAAACTAAACTCAGTAATAAGGCCTGCGATTTCCAGGGGATTTGGGGTATAGTACACAGCCTCTGACTCAACCTCCGCATGAGCTCTGTCACCAGCATGAATGTGTCAGGACAGGAAAGTATGTGGATAATACTCAGAAACGCCTTAAACTATGTAACACTCAGGCCCCAAGAGCCCCGAAGTGGGATTCTACAAGAGGACAGAACACAAGGAAGAGGAGGCAATTTCTCTACCCATTTTAGAAAACAGAGGCCCTAGCAGTCTGGGGCAGAGTGGCGGTGACAGTGAAGCGTGCTGACGGGCGGGAGAAGGCAGGGTGACCGGAGCAGGAGCAGGAGCAGGAGCAGAAAGACTGCAATGGATCAGGCAAAGCAGCAGGGCACACAGATATAGCATCTGTGGCAGCAGCACCAGCGTAAGCAGTAGCCTGAGGGAGAGGGACGGGGGCCCAGGTGAAGCAGCTGTGAGCGGTGTGGGGGGACGGAGCGTGAAGCAGCAGCCCGTGTGAACAGTGGCATAGGTGTGATGCCAGGTTGGGCAGCAGAGGCGTGGCTCAGAGCCAGACAGAGCCCAGATCAAAGTGAAAACAGCCACCCACAGCAGCCTCGCATGGTTTGTGAGATGACGTGACAACCTCCAAAACCCCAGAGCTATGTCTGTAAGAGAGAACCTCAAAGAGGTCCAAGGTTTTAGTTCCATGTGTGAGAGCTTTCAAAGTAATGGGATTTGGTCCTCAATATTAAGGTGACTTTTTTTGTAACCCCCAAGCCAGGGAGTTCCAGGAACATTCAGAATTACAAACTTCTGTCTGTCCTAGAAGAAATTCTCATGCAGAAGCAAAGTTTCTGAAACATTTCTGAGAAACAAGCAAAAAGCTAATTCTGTAGGTGACTGACTTACAAGGCAAATTGGATTGAAGCGCCACAGGATCTCTTTTGTTCAAGTTATGGCATTGATCGGGAAGAAGAGCGACTTTGAACATTGGTATGAGGACTCCAGGGGCAGAATTAAATGAAGCTTGGTCCTTGACCTGTAAATTCTACCAAGCCCTCTTTGCCACAGAAACAGCCCTTCTTCCCTGTTTAAGAAGTCAGGTCCCCCCTTGCCTAAGAACCTGGAAGGAGAGAGAGCCTCCTCAGGACCTTTCCTCACGCCTCTCATTGTTTCTTGACCTATAGCCAGACTTAAATCCTGCCAGGCCTCAGGAGGTCAGTTATCAAATGACTTATGAGAAGGAACCAAATGCACTAAAAGCATGGCAAGATTTTTCTAGTTTCAAGTGATAAAAAAACATGTGGGATGTTTGGGATCCTAAGAGTGTTGGAGCAGGTTGGAAAGAGTAGAAAGTAGGATCAGGTCAAATTTATTGACTTGAGGGCACGGAGCAGAAATTCTGGATTCCTATGTTAGGCCAAGAAACTGAGAGCGGTTTTACCAGTTCACTTGGTTGTTCACTGACACGTAGGACCAGAAGTTCCAGAGGTGGCCAGGACCGTGACAGCACTTAATTGCCAAAGACAAGGTGGGTGCGGTGAAGGTCATGGACAGCAGAGCCAAAGTAATAACTCAGAGCAAGTCGATCCATGGAGATCTTCGGTGTTGGCTAATTGCGCATGGTGTCCCTAGGTCTGAATTGGATAGGCAGTCTACCAAAGTCTTGCTTATTTAGTATAGTAACTTAGTGTCATTTACATTTAGTATGATTTGAATAAGCCTGAAACTCTAGTTCAGAGGAGCAGAAGTATGACTTGAATCACAATAGGGAGAGTCTTGACCCTTGGAACAATTCCCAGACTTGAGCCAATTCAATGAGAA